CTTTTTGGGGGGTATTCCATACCCCCCAGGCCCCCGGTGACCCCCCCAAAATATATGTCTAGGACCGCCCTTGTCTTCTTTACCTATAAAACACATGGGATACAGCCTTTCTTCACCCATCACGTAATGTGTGATTTTCTATAAAGTGTTGGAAAAATAAAAGGTAAAATAGATAGAATACAAGTGTACTGTATGTGGTTTACACACAAATATTCATCAAACTGTGTGATATTTTGTTATTGCAATGAACAATTTGGGAGTATCGTATTGTTTAAGTCGATGGAAAATCTTTGTTGATCTTGTTTTACAAGCAAACCAAAAATATACAGTAGTCACCACTCTATGCGACATATTCTAACCAGAAAATTGTAATCGTATGATTCTATAAGCATTGGTAGGATTGCAAAGTACTACACAAACATTATTTCAAGGGTAATAACAGTCACAATTTCCGCCGACTTTAAAAGAGTCAACTAAAATATTATACTAATGGACACACAACTAAATGGAACAACTAATGGAACAACTCACGATGTACATATAACAGTTCGATATAAGCATCGAGTATACACGTCAGTGGATACGTGTATACCCAATGATATAAGCAACGGCGCAACGGTTCTTGCAATTTATTGCTTGTTTTTTAGAGTTTTTCGGACTTACTCACACTCGTATAAGGTTGTCCACGTTTGTCATTGATAATGTAGCCATGTAACATGGTTACACCCATTGTCACGAATATGTTTACAAGTTTTCCGTCTGTTTTTGAATAGCGATACATTTTTTCACATACTTAAGAACCATCTGATTTTGTGCATTACATGTTCGTCTCAATTTTATTTGCTTTAGTAGGCATTCTTTTGGTTGATGAGGACTTCAATCGGTCCTTTCAATGATTGCTCATGAAATATAGTACTTTGTCCATTAATTTTTATTGTTTGGTAAAATGGATTAAATTATCCAGCAAACCCAAATTGAAATAGTAAATATAGTATTTCAAACAAATCAGTAACATGTTAATAATGTAGCCTACATTATTTCCTTGAATTGCATAACAGCAATTAATTGGGCTGATCCTAATATAAATAAATCAATATGTTCTTCATAGGCATAGCATGGGTTCATAACATGAGCCGCTGGGGCTGAGCCCAAGGGATTTAAAAATGTAAGGTTGGTCTGCAAATTTACGTGACACGCTCTCTCTAATGAGACATGAATGGTCAAAATCGCCTAAGAAATGCGGAGGAGTTCAACGGAAAAATTTCGTGTTGGCGTTATACAGTATGGTTGAAAAGTTATTATCACTTTTTTATCCCTTAAGAGGGATGGACCACAAAGACTAAGACAAAATTCTTATATAATTGTAATACTATTTTACTTGTTTTTGAAATGGCGACCATACAAATGTATGCATTTTAAGCCAAGTATGAATGGAGATGAGTGTGTGATGAGTGGAGCGATCTTGTTGTCCTGTTAGTGACTTAAGGCCGACGTAATCCTTAGACACAGCTGTTAATTAATAGTCCATACAGTCAATTAATAGCAGCAGAGGTCAAGTTTGGTAGGTATCAAATTAAAGGGTTTATACATAAAAATACATTGCCGCAAACCCAAACTCAAACGATGATGATGATAATAATGTTAATGATGTAGCTAAAACGTATCGTTTGAAATTTAACAGCTGAAAATAAGTGAAATAGAAAAGGTTTTGGTTAAATCCATCAAATTGTAATTGGACACTAGTAAGTACTAGTGCACTTTTTGCTACTTCCCCCCTTCGGTTTCATGTATTCCTCTCAATTAGTTCAAACCTAGGGGGATTAAACATTAATGTTAATTAATGTTAAATCCTCCTAGGTTCAAACCGTAAACACCCAGATCGAAACTCGCCTGTCGTTATTTTAACATCGCCTTATTTTTTTTACTATATTTTTCAAAAAAGAAAGATTATATTGATTTACTTTGAATTTTAAAAATGTTAACGTTTTATTTTATTAAAGATTTATGGTGATACGTAAATATTGTGGTGTAGTAAAGTATATTATATTGTAGTTAAGTGTTAAATGTAGAAATTTTAGGGTGAATCGAGATGAATCTTTTTTTATAACATGGGTCTCTCCTACCTTAACATACATACCAAGTTTCATAGACATCGGTTGAAAAAGTGTAAAGATAAATACGGTATGTAAAAAATACAAAATGGCGGATATCTGGTTAACGAAACGATTTTGGAAAAAATCTTATCCTTCATTTTCTGTTTATTTTGACCCAAGGAATTACTAACTAGGTAAAGTATCTCTCCGCTTATTTTTAACACCCTGTTTATGATGTATTCTTATTAATATAAGTGAAAAATATAAGTGTCAAGCTGGTAATACAGAAAGATGTTTTATATATAATATGAATGTACTGGTAATCTGTATATTCATCTTTTTCTTGTCCTTAGAACTGTAAATTAAAAGTCCACTCAGCAGTCGCATCGTACGATGTAGTTCTTTCCATGCGTTGCGAAATGCTAAATTTGCCGTCCTCTTCAACCCAAGTTATCTATTGAACCACTTATTGTAAAAAATTTAAAAAAAATTTATTTTACGCATCGCACTTTTAGCTACAACTTTGCCACAGACAAAACATCTCTAACCCAAAAACAAAAAAAAATCTCGCATGCTAACTTTTTCATGTTAGAAATCACGATTTAAAAATATTTCACCATACATATCAATTTTTATTAATTAGATTGGTAAATAATTAAAGTTCCAACAAAACTGTCATCGAGTAGGACTAACCAAGAAGCTCTGTGCCAATTTTCAAAATTTTAGCACAACTTTAAGTACACCAAAACACGAAATTATTGAAGTCATGCGTCGAGAGGACTATCGCTCTTTTTAACAGATTATACTTTTGACCTTCCGGCACTGTTGACTCAGCGAAACTGAACTTATATTTTATCTTATTTCGTTATATTAAAACTGCTGTTGCATTAGGTCAAATTCCCAATAAGTCAATTGCTTTAACATAGACTACGTTTTTAGCCCGGACTGTACTATTTGACTTACTGGGATTTTTGATCTACAGACACTGCAAACATTGTAGTTTTTGACCTAGCGGCACAGGTATAAATTATTTGACCTTCCGGGACTGTTGACTTTCTGCAACGCGTCCATTTGCGAAGGTTTATGTATAATAGTTTTGCCAGCATATCTAAAAATATGCAAACCAACTGCTGTTCTTAATATAAGAAGATTTAAACTGACTACTTTAAGATCCCCGTGCGTAGAACGGGCACACAGCTAGTTAGATATAAAATATGGACTTACTCGATCGAGTGACATATAATTGTGAAACATTCGTTTTGGCTTTGACACTGTCAGATATTGTATTTGCGAAGGTTTATAGGCCTATGTATTCCTATATGGTACAGTAATAGTTTTGCCAGCATATCGGGAAATATTCATATGCAAACCAACTCCTGTTCTGAATATAAGAAGGTTTCAACTTACTACAAGATTCCCGTAAGTAGAACGGGCAAACAGCTAGTAAGTATATAAATCTATAAGCTAGGCCTATAACATTTAAATGGTGGCCTCTGAGGACATCATAACGAAAAAGTTAATCGATCCTAAGTCGAGTTCTTACCATCAGAACTACGGTAATAGCTTATAATTCCCAATAGCCTATAGAAAATAAGCTAATATGAGGGATCTTAAAAAAAAATACCCGAGAATAGCTTACCTTTCAAAAGTTATTGATAGGTACACAAAACAATGGTACTTAGGCTAATTTTCCTATTGTGTGAAGGTTACTGGCAGAGGTTAGGTTAGAGTTTACCTATGTTATTGACTCATCTGGCTATCACTCTAATTATATATTGAGATAAGAGTAGTAGAAACACTTTTTTGAAAACATAAACGGTACTTGGGTATTATCCGGAGGCCACCCTTATACAGCTGCGACAGTTATGTTAGGTTGGGTTATCATGAATATGTTTCAATATGTGTTTGTTATGTTGTATTGGTTATCTTCTGTATCTAGAGGGTGGGAAAAAGTATGACTCATCAGGTATCATTCAATTCATATCGAAATGAGGAAAGTCCCATAAACATATTTATGATAATCTAATCTAACATAACCATCGCAGCGCGCTATACCTACTTGACAGAGTATTGCAGCGGCGGCGCATTTAACTCAATCCTCGCCGACATCGCTGCTTTCTGCGAGGCAGAACTCAAAGGCAGCTAATCGTAATCATGTCAAATTTGGACAGAAAGTCAATTAAATTACCGGTATGTTCTTTCCAATTATGTACCGGTAGTTATTTTTGGTCTCTGGTAAAAAAATCTCTCCAAAATAAGTGCCCTCTGGATAATACCAAAGTACTCCATAAACCTAACCTAACCAATAACCATTACCGTGCACCTAAACAGAGTGGCCTCCACCTTAATACGTTAAGTTACGGTAAGTTAGTAGGCTAATATTGAATATTTGTGGGTGTAACAGTATGCTAGGCTATTTAAATTACACCAACCATCATTTTTCCCGTTTTGCCTATTTCTACCCTAGGAAAACACTGGTTGGACAAAATCAGAATTTTTTCTACTCAAAGATTCACATTAGGAAGTAAAGATCCACAAGTTAAATGTAATAGGATACTAAGTTACCGGTACCCAATTAAAATAATAGAACGATAACTTAATAGGTAGGCCTAACTTACCGGTACTTTGACTCTGAAATATTTGTTGATAAACAACGAGAGCTTTACTGGTACTTTGACTCTGAAATATTTGTTGATAAACAACGAGAGCTTTATTATTTGGCATTAGGCTAGGCCTAAGTTTTAATTTAGCCTATATACGGTAACCTACTTATAAGCTATAATTATTTTGAAAAAATATAGACTAGGCCTAGTCTTGATAACAAGTAAAAATATAACCTAGAGTATACATAGGCCCTAATCTTTGTAAGTTAGCAGAAGAGGCTTATGAAATTAAAAACCACTGTAGTTATTTGACAGTTGCGTATATTTACATGATTAAAAATGACGAATGATAAGCACAATAGATATGAATTGTCTTTAGGCCTAACTCAAGAGTACAACAAATTGATTTTAAGTTAAGTTAACTGGCCTATATTAAAACATTTTAAGCTACTTTAAATAAAAGCTGATACACAAATAAAGCTCAGGACAAGTTTTAACTTGAAAAAAATAAATATGTTATACATAACGTATGTAGGCTAGTTCTTTTTGAATAAGTTAGATATGAAAAGATCAATCCCTTTTTAAAGACTTAAAAAATAACTAGCAAAGTAAAAACTGCATACAACAAAATGCAAGGATACGCAATCAATGGCCTTTGCCCTCTATCTGCAGAAATTGTGACAAATAATCTAGATGCAGCTAAGCTAGACCACGCAACAGCAACTGCTGCCATAACAAGTCCATAAACATTCTGTAGATTGAACAACACTCCCACTCCCGAGAGAACCACAACAGGTAATAAGGCATACCCAAGAACTGATGCCACAGATGTTAGCGTAAATCCCGCACTAGTGGTCATTAAGTTCAGAAGAGCGTACATCATGAAACAACTTGTCATTGCTAAGCTGTAGACATATCCAAAGTGAGCAGTTCCACCTGATAATAGCAAAAATCCAGCCAATAATATGCAAAAAGCCAGAGGACCAGCAAGATCATAATCTCCGATAGGTACAGTTGATGTAAATGGATCTAAGACCACCAAAATCTTTTTTCCAATTTGATCGGGGTCGATGCCAAGCTCTTCTAATAAAGGTGGTTCATCATCAAATTCATTGCCACCCATCGTTGGAGGTAAGTCATGGGCATTAGGATCATAAAAACTTCCAGTGTACATGGGTTGACTTGGCATTTGTTGGTTAGGTTGGTTGTATTGAGCATACTCGTATTCGCCTTTGCTGCTATCGTAATTTGTCTCGTGGAATGTAAACTGGTCAGTATTCAACACCATTTCATCATTATTATATTGAAAATTAGGTTGATATCCACTTCCATAGTTGTGTCCCGATGGATCATCAGGGTTCCAAAAACCAGACATTGTTAGGCTCGGTTATCCTACGGATACAAAATCAGTTGAAGACAGAAAGAGAAAATTATTGTCTATTTACATACTGTAGTACGATGACTAGCAATAAGCGTAAACACACTAATTACACGAGACACCAAATTTATCAGTAAGAAATACAATCATTGAAGAAGTAACCACAAAACAGAAACACCACCACATCAAATTGTAATCCGAAATTCCTAATCCCAGTTTCAGTTCAGTTCAGTAATCAATCAGTACAGACTAAATTTGAACAGCGGAGCGGACTGGAGTTAGTTGAATAGAACGAACGAGGAATGTCCCCAAATAATAAACTTTCAATTAATGAAAAACTTTAAATAAAACAAAATGAATGATTTGAAGTAACAATTTTCAAAACCAAAGTTACGGTACTTCCGAAAATTTTAAAAATATGTTTTGCTAACGAGTGTATTGGGTCGAGTGAAACTTGATTCGACTTCCACGTATTCTCTTCTTGATGATTCTCTTCTCTTGTTGATCGGGTCGAGAATGGGAACGGATAAACAGAACCGCTCCAGCTGTACAGTATTGGATTGGAACAACTGCAATGCAACCGTTGTCCATATTTCGTATCGTCTGCTGCTTGCTCTGACTTGAGCTACACTCTGGTAGTAAATCGAGGAACTACCATGTGCTTGACTTTTACACCGTTCGCACAGTCGCACATGACACTCGATTGGGCTTTCAAGAACGGACTTTTAAGATTTAAGATCAGAATAAGATACAAACATAAATAAAACATACTAGTCTATGATACAAATAACCACACAATTTTGAAAAATGAATAAAAAATTGCAATGATTACTATACACCCAAATGGAATTCTCAGTTTTATGTCATCACTTGTACATTAAAAATCAAACATAAAAATAATACATAGTGAGACAAAAATTATTATAATGGTGGATTAGTCAGTGTTAATCTGTTGTATGATGCTTAATGAATGTTATATGAAGAATGTTGCTTTTTAATTTACTTAATTTAATTTAAATTACTTGTACATGACAAAAGTTTGCATGTAAAACAGAACTTTGTATCTTATGTACGCTGGATAAATAAAGATATATATTGATATTTTTAAAACACAGTATTTTAAAGACAAAGGCACTCATAAAAATGGCTAATCCAGAGTAGAAACTCACAAATTATAATTTTTATCTCAAACTGTAAACAATTTCTTAAAGCCCCTCTAATCAACTGTGATACAGAAGAATAAACAAATTAATAATAATTGCATACCCAGAATGTTTAAACATTTTTAATCCTCCCGATCAATAAAATGTTGCTTCTGGCCGAGTTTGCTTGATCAACCAGAAAATAAACACACCAATTTCGTGTGTTTAACAACTCTTCCCTGTTATAAAGAGAATTTGATTGGATTATGCTTTTAACTTGTTGACAGCTTGAAAATGAACCTTTAGGTTCTAAACCTGGGTTGCTGACCTAAACTAGGACCACAGACAGTACTACAGGTATTTAACCTATTATAAAAAAAAATATAGCAACTAAACTTTTTTAGCAATTAGTCACTTACAAAACATAGAGGAAAAATATTGCTAAAATCTTAGATTAATCGTTTTTAAAACTAGTCTAGATTTTGAAATTATTAGAAAATTTATTTTAAGCTACTTTGAATTCAAATGAAATAAGAAAAACAAAAAAAATGGTAACAGGTAGACTTACCGTTGTCCCAAGCAGCCTCCTTGGTCTTGAGCAGCGCTGCCAGTCCAATGTTGTCTTTAGGCATGACTCTGTTCAACATGTCGTCTGAACCCTCCGAGTTTGCCATCGCCAGCTGGTTGAACTCTACCAGGTGTTCTTTGATTAGTGTGAATCTGCGGAAAAATCACTGCGTGGTAAATGTCTTCAAACATCGATATTCACAAACTTTACTTTGTAAAAGGTTGGTAAAAAACCCAGGTCTTGCTACTGAAATCGACCTTTGCAGGGATAGCATAATTAATTGAGCCTGAATTACAATTAGTGTCAAGGAATAGAATTGATCCTTGTAATTAAAACATTCTGGTTAAATTCTACATTGCTGGTTTTGCTTGAATTAAATTGATTTTCTTTGCAAAGGTGACTTGATTGTGATGGTGTATCAACGCAATTGTACAGGTTTTGTCATTATGGCGACATGAAATTTGCAAGGTTGGTAATTTAATTAACCTTTAAAGTACAAAAGGCCAATATATATATATATATATTATTTGACACAGCATGAAGATGAAAACATAGTTTTTGAAAGCGCTAGTGAAATTAAAAAATATATATATTTATTGGCTTTTTGTACTTTAAAAGTTAGAATGAAAGAATTGTAAATCCTTTTATAACAAAAAGTTGTACAACTTGTATTATGAAAACTATAAATAGGTCTTAAAACTTAAAATACTGTAAATTATTATAAAAAAAGTATTCTTACACCAATTACCATGGGCGCCCACATTAGTAATGATTTGATAGGGGACGGGGCTAGACGTGAATATATATCCTTTTTATTTTTTTATACTTTGGGGAAAAATTTCAACACCTTTGATTATTTCTTATGATTGCGACAATAACTGTAAAAAATACACTAAGACTGTGACAACACCTGTGATGGTTTCACTCAACCACGGCAACATCCACAATCGTCTCTAGGGATTATTTCAACTTTGGTGACTATTTCTTGTGATCGCGGAAACGGCGATTATTTCCTGCAATCGTGATAACGTCTGTTATTCGTGATAGTTTTACCACGCGATCAGAATTTTCAACTAGGCAAAAAGATAAAAATCGGCTATTTTTGGCGGGTTTCTCAGCTATTACTTAAACTTTTTAATTTCCCGGTTCTTAAAAAAAAATCATGTACAATTCAGAGACTTTTCTAGGTCGTCAAAATGCAGATACAATTTCAGGGTTTTCAGTTTTTCCATTCCGGCTCCCCGGCTGGACACCCTGTATTTAGCCGTAATGACCCTAAAATAGCACAATAATTAGTAGTAATTGGCTAGATAATTGGTTTTGACGATTTTGGAGTAGTTATTTACCAAACTATTCAATGATGTTTTGACAAAAATACGTTTTTCTACATGTTCATTTTGATTTTCTCTTTCTTTAAAAGATGGTAGGGGGGGAGGTTGCTGCCCCACTTGCCCCCGAGTACTGGTGCCCTTGCCAATTAAGTGAATTATATATTTATAATGACTAAAATGATACTTTTGAAAGTTTATTACACTTTATGAAAATACTCGGATCAACAATAATTTAAAATTGTTAAATTTGATTTTTTTTCTCATCTCAGTTTCAAGAACTTGAATTATATTAGATTTACCTTTTTTGTTGCTTGAGTTCTTGCAGGTAAGATGTTTCTGTTACAAGAACTCAGGCAACAATACCAAAGCTAAATCTAATATTATTTTTGTCTACAAACTTACAGAAATGTGACGATAAATAGTGAGAAGGTTCCTTGATACAAGAATTATAAAGCCCCTACTGAATCCATTTAGAATGGCTTGATAATGTTTTAATGTTACCACATATGGTAACAGTTTTCCTGACTGATAAATTCTAAGAGGAGAAAGACTTCCCTGGTCCTAGTTGCGCGGTTAGTCCAGTATCCAGGATACGCCGGACAGACATTAGACATTACTCGCCAGGTGGAGGTGAGAGGAGACTGGTCCAGTCACCTGCTCATTGATCACGTGCGGTCATGCCATTATTGTTCCGCCCAAAACTAATGCCCCTGATGTAACCGATCATTGCATCACCACCAATCACATCTGCAACGTTCTACGTCCTCAATACACTGTACACCGTTATCATCCAATACGTCCAATTTCATTTAACCTCGTAATTCGATCGGTCGCCCGTGCCACCTTTACTGATGAAAACGTTTCTTGGAATCGTGACCGGCATTTAATGCCAGTTTCTGAACAGCTCTTGATGTGGATGGTGAATTAGAAAAATGGCTGGATGATATGCATCATCACTCTACTTGAGTACTGATGGAAATGTAAGAGAAGATAAACTTATCAACTCTGATTGGATTTTCAACTGAAATGAAGCATTTTAAAAGTTTACGTTTCTTAAAAATAAAAATTATACAAATGCTTTGGACACTCAAAAAACTATTTTAAAATTAAATAATTTTAAAATTATACAGTTTATAAAGAGTAATCAGCGCACAACTCATAAAATGTTTACAGTTAAAAATGTTTTGTAATGACATACAATTGTTTTAGACTTTGTATACATATTAAATACATATTAAATTTTACACAACATTGAACTAAATTACACTTATAAAATAGAGTGATGTTTTAAAAATTTTATACATTTTAAATCAGGAAAATGTTTTTGACATATTTAATTACACCTGATTGAGGATCAGAATTCTTGCAAATACTTACATTTCATTAAATGTATGACATAGTTTTAATCAGTAATAAATGTACAGAATTTTATTTTATCTTTATTTATAAGCCGGTTAGTTTTAGTTTTATAAAATTACTAGGTATATTCCCCAGTTATTCCTTTACTTTAGGGGGAAATAATGACATTGATACTGCTATTTTTTGTTTATTTCCCAAGTTGCACCATTATCACCATATTACTCCCACCAAGATAAAATGTATAAAAATATTTTAGACTGTACTGTTATCAATTCCAACCAAACAAAACAAAACTACATGGCCAAAAAGTCAATAAAAACAATTATAATCTGATTCATCCCGGAACAGGAACAGTTGTGTGATGCAAGTCAAACGGATCAGTTGCAATGTTTAGCTTTGATTTGTTTACTTTCAATGCAACTAGTGACTTGTAGAAAGTATCAAGATAAGCAAGTAATGGTCAGGTAATTGATCTGATTACAAAGGAGTTTGAAGCACAAATCAGAGTGATTAGTGTTGACAAGATAAGAGATCAGGGGGGGGGAGGTAAGAGGAGAGGGACAAGACACTGACACATCACCTACAGACAGTACAGTATAATGTTGGGCTCTTAATAGGGTAAATTTCACTATTACTGAAGATTCACCTATAACCTTGGTAACAGGTTACTGAGAATATCCTATCATTTTTTCACGTTTTCTGAACCGTTAAATTGAGCTAGTGAAATAACGCTGACCGTGTCGTCCTATTAATTAATAGTAAACGCTCGGTAATAGTTTACTCAGAATCATATTACAGTATTTTTGTAACCTCGTAGTACAAACTAGCAATGCATACAAACGTAATAGCTTCTGTATCCAATAGTCAATGGTAATAGTTACTGAGAATCATATATTTTTGTAACATCGTCTGAACTGAACTGGTAGTTGGTAGGTCGAACAAATGAAATAACACTGACCGTGTAATCCTATTAATTAATAGTAAACATTTTTATAACGTTTTTGTAGCCCTATAAGTGAAATAACATTGGAAGGGGAAATAACAGGTGACAAAAATGTTAATGTTATTTCACCTATTACCAAATAACTAAGGAACGTTCTGACTATTACTGAAAAGTGAAAAATAACGGTATTTCCCATCTCTAGTACCGTACACCTCGGCCCACCAGAATACCAACACCAATCACACACAATACTGTAAATTTGGCAATTGGACATGGAATGACTCACTGGCCACTGGTTACTAGGAACACCCAGGTGTTTGAACATGTTCCTCTCAGTACTTGTTAAGCGTTGGACATTACTGTTGAAGATACTTGATATACACACTACACACTTGATTGTTGAGTCCCATACTTATTATTGCTTATAAATATGCTATGTTGTCAAAGAATGAACTAAGATTATGCTGGAAAAGTGATAAGTTGTTGGACTTAACCTCAGAGTTGTAGAGGCTTAACCCACAAAAATAGTTTTTAGCCCAATAAATTATTTTTGTCGGAAACACTTTAACTAGTCTTTATTTTATTTTATTTTTTTTATCGGTGGGACTAAAATTTTTTATTCTATCCCATGTTTTGTGTGTGCGCTTTTCTTGTAGTTCCACAAAACATAGGGGACACACGCAGAAGCAAAATTGCAAGGAATCGAGTTGAAGTTTATTTTCCACTGCGCTAAAATGTGTACAAAGTACTTTTAAATATAACAAATATTATTTCTCAGACAAAAAATACAAATATTACAATATTTAACCTGTTTAAACACAAAACTTGAAAACATACTTGGCTGTTCGGTAGAATATGGCGCACCCATCCACATACTTCCGTTCATTTTCGGACATAGTCTTAGCTCTGGACTTGGGAGAGAATATTCCATCGTAGCCATCCCTCTTCAGCTCCGGCAGGAAAAACTTGTAGAACTGATCAGTTTCCACTTCCTGAAACATAGTTTCATAAACGTATAAAACAGTAAACACACATCCCTAACTTCAAGGTTGCTGTTATATAGGTTATTGAAAAACAGTGACGAAATAACAAAAGGATTGATGGAATTAGAAGAGAAACCGTGCATAATATAACCAAAAACTTATTATTTATCTACTCAGTGTAATGTTTATGGAACACTTATGTATATATTCACCGGTTTTTATCATTATAGTTCCTTAAGAACTTTCTGGTAATAAAAACCACTCAAGGAGAAAAATTGTATAATCCATAATCAGCTGTAACATATTCTAATGTATCAGAGGAAGTGAGGTGAGAGATGATATTAAATTTATACTACTCTAACTCACCAGGATAGGGTATTTTTCTTTTAAAAACCAATTAAGACAGCTGAGTGCAGTTTTGAGCAATAACAAATCTGTCTTTTCGCCAGATCTCGAGCTCTACAACTCAGCTATGATGTTTACCTGAAGACTTATGATGTCCGCAGTATAATGCCTTATCTCTCCGAGGATGGCCTTCTTGCGGTAGTCCCAGGTGAGGGCCCACGAAGGACAATACCCGTACATCTGTCTGGTGGCGTACTTGTCACACAGCACGTTGTAACACATCACGGTCATCAGACCTATACAAACAAGCAGCAATGTTACTAACATCAGCATAAAACTGATCCTTTAGAATTATAAGAAGAACTCGACGGTCAAAAAGTTATTTCACTAGGGGAATGAATAAAAGTTGCGAGCTTTGAACATGTTAAATAAAAAAGAGTAATGATAGTCTTCTTAAGTGCTAGATACAAGAGGTTTGATTTTGTGATGTATACACAACTTACATGTTGGTTTTGTCCTGTTCGGCCTTGCTAATGGTATCCAGGGCCTCTCTGGTGGTTGGGGCGACCTCACTGAAACAGAAACCTAAGATTAATAAAATGTCAATATCTCACAGTCAATAATCAAACGTAAGTTCATTTGCTAAAAAAAAAAAAATATATTTTCTACCCATTTTTTAACATGCACTGTAAAAAATTCAAACTGAACTAAGCCATAAATGTGTATAAATTTATTTAAATCAACAGCAAAACTCGTTGCATAGATATCGATATTACAAGAAAGAAAACTTACAGCAATATACATTCATAACATAACGAATTAATGTGTTCTATTATACTGAAGAAGGCTAATAAGATAGTTTGCAATAGCAACAAGAGCAAAGGGAAGGGCAAGGGAGGACATATGGCATTGTAGAGAGTCTACAGTCCAGTCACATAGGTGGAAGACCTTGGAGGCCCATAGGAGCGGCAGACGCCTTGTACGTGTATACTAAGCATGCTCACTGAGGCTAGAGGATCAAGTAGGATCTGTGTCAACAGTACAACTCATCACATGTGGAGACTGAGCATGAGCACTGAGGTCAGAGGAATAAGAAGAATCTCTTTTGACAATACAACCCATCTCATGAGGATATTGAGCATGAGCACTGAGGTCAGAGGAGCAAATAGAATCCGTGTCAACAATGTAAATTATCATCACATGAGGATTTTTTTTAAGCATGAACACTGAGGCTAGAGGAAAAAGAAGCATCTTTTGACAATACAACTCATCTCATGTGGATAAGCATGAGTCGTGAGGCCAGAGGAGCAAATAGAATCAATCTGTGTCAACAATGTAAATTATCATCACATGATGATTTTTTTAAGCATGAACACTGAGGCTAGAGGAAAAAGAAGCATCTTTTGACAATACAACTCATCTCATGTGGATAAGCATGAGTCGTGAGGCCAGAGGATCTACTGACGGGTCAAAAAGTATAGATAATCGAGTTTGAGCTGTTATTGCACCGTAAGAAGTATGTTCTATAAACTGTTCTATACTTTTTGACCCGACAGTAGTATCGACAATCATCACGTGGAATATTCAGCATGAGCAGTGATTCCATAGGAAAAAGAAGAATCTATTGAAAATACAACTCATCTCATGTGCATAATGAGCATGAATCCTGAGGCCAGAGGTGCAATATATAAGGGACGATACAAAGTATAATATGTGTATTCAATTAATACAACTCATCGTTCATCGCATATGGACAATGAACACTATAAAACTGAGAAAACGTCTTAAAACGCACACAACGTATATGTACGGGAGGAATACCAGAAATAATGCCTAAATCTGTCTGTGTCAGGAGCCCATTTTATCTCATACATACATTATGTTAAATACGATATTAGATTGGTTACTCCGTAAATTACTTAAAAAAATTGCATAATGCAGACTAGTGTTGTATATCCTAAGAGATTGATTGCATTAGCTAATCTTTCTTTACACAACACACTCCAATACAATGTGTTGAACAACACTCGTGTCTTTGCACAATAAATGAATTGAATCAATCCGAGCGCCTACGCCATTGTCAAAGACAAGAACGTTTCAACTTTCATTGTCCACATCACCAAACATATCGACGGGGGGTCACTCGCTGACCTTGTCCACACTCCACCTGCTTGCCCAACCCCGCGGTCTTGCGACAGGGTATCGGCCCCGGGCCTGTTGCGCCGCATCCACTCTTTGTTGGACCGCCATTCAATGCGTCATTGTTCGACGTCTGGAGGTGCTAAATGGAAATGGGGTGTCGCAATGGGTTTACAACTTACGTTATATCGGCGAAGCCGAAGTGCTGGATAGGTTAATTTATTCTCAACTCTTTGTTTACATTTACAGGGCATTCGCCTATGTTGAAAAAGTTAAGTGATTCTTTGTAATCCGGAGAATTCAAGATTATTGCGAGGAAGTGATTTTGTACATTGAATGTTGCACCTATTATACATCGGTAAAAAAACAAAATCACGAAATGCAAGTGTCAACATTGGGATTCTTATAGGGTTAAAAGAAGGTCACATCGCTGCAGGGACGCGAGCTGGTCTAGTGGTAGAGCGCGAGTTTTAGGTCTCTTGAGGTCCCGGGTTCAAATCCCACCAATCATTAATGGATTTAACCAGAATCCTGACCAGTTCTAGATTAGAGCTTAGCGTCCAATGATAGGAAGATGGGAAGATAAGGAAACTTCTGAGTACTTAGTGATAATGCATTTGCTCTCCCTACTTTACAGAATCCAACTTCACCTCCCAACCCCATCGCCGCATTACAGAGCTTGAGTCGTGGGAGAGTCATTCACCGTTCACCGACTACCGCGTGCACTCTTCAGCTGTATCAACATTGACATCGCAGCCACGGAGAAGAACGATGACTCCGATACCCTATTGACATTTGTCGCGACACTTTCACTTCCTAGATACATCCTCCGTCTGTGACTGTGTGACTGCACTAGTGATGCAACCGTGTGTGGGTGTGTGGAGCGGCCACGTGGGAAACGCTCAGTGGAGACTTATCATCAAAGTGTTAAGTTGTAAACAAATATAGCGAGAGGTGTTACTAATATCAGAGAGAAATGTTTTTCATAGAGAAATGTACAGAACTGTATTTAAAAGAATATAGGCTTTAAAAAATATATATAACCGAAGGAAAATATATTTTCTAGGTGGCAAAAAAACGCCCGCTCATAAAATGTATCTAAAAGTTAAGTAAAGGTAAACAAATTGTTATGGATTTTCTATGCAATATCTTCACTGAAAAAAAAACAAAAAAACTGACTCTGGGGTGACAAAATACGTCCCCAGCACTATAGGATGCTATTGGTTTACGATTCTTCAGAAATAGCGTTGTCTCCTTCCAAATCGCATCAATTTTTCAACTTAACTACCGGTTAGCTTAAATTACCAAAAATGTTTCTCGATTCCAGTAGTAAATAGTTTAGGAAATCCACAAGAATATCAGTTTTACGTTGGGCTACTCCTTATAAAATTGGAAGTACACTTGCAGAAAAAGCCATAATCAAACAGTGGCAAAATTACAGGTGTAACAGATTTTCAACACATCAGTTTTAAAACAACTAGGATATCACGTAAACATAAACCTTACATCAAGTAAAACAACAAATCTTACCAGTGTACTGAATAACGTATATTGCACTTTTACGAAACATTTAATTTTCAATTACTCCTTTATCTATTCAATTTCCATTGGCCTCAACAGGTCCATGCCACTGTTGGGTGGACCACACCCACGCCGACCTTCCTTTGGGGTGATAATTTAAAACAATAGTTTGTACAAGCAATGATGTAATAATACAGGTGTCAGTGTGTGTATGTGTGTATTGGTGTGCGTGTGAGAGTTACAAGGTACAAGGCGATGCAAGGCCAAGGCTATGTCCAAGACCTTGGAGTATCCAATAAGTTAGAGCTTGTCGCCAATTGCTTGTTCAGCAAAACGTCAAAAATAAACACACGTCTTTTTCAAACACTGTGGAATCTTTCTAAGAAGCTTCAGTCATTTGTCAATTTACAAGCGGCGCTACGTAATGATTATTTGATGTTTGGTAACAAAAAAGTCTGTCTGCTGTTTAAAGTCGGTTTTTAATAGTTGTTCCTTCGGTATCACGAAGCATAAGAATTCAGTGCCGAATAGGTCATGTATACACATAGTGTGGGTTAAATAATTTATTTTCTTTGAACAAACATTGTGGTGCAAAAAGCCATAAACTTTACAGAATACCAGCAGACTCCGTCTCCGATCATAGTTTAGGAAAAAATCCATTGTTGACTTGAAAGTACGACGTTTTAAGTTTCAATGCAGTCTCAAATATTTTATCTTTACAAAGATATTTTAAATTCAGCAATTCCAGTAAAAGTCACGGTACAGTAACTAGAATTCCGTTTACATAGCTATGAAAACCTTTTTTATAGATTCCATTCGATTTCGCCGGAAATTTCAATACGCTCATTAAATAAACTAAATCATGAGTCTCATTTTTATAACTAAAATAAACCCGAGGGCACTGACACTGACCCGTGTAAACACATTTTGGCTTTCTCCCGCCATTTCCGACACATGCCGCGGGTATTGAGGTTTACCAAGTAGAGTGCGGTACAACGGTGCCTCGGTACCGCCTCGGGATTAATTGTGTGGTAAATTAGAAACACGACATGTTAACACAGACGATAGTGTAACGTGTGGAAATGTCAGTTAAAACCCTTATCTTATCACCAGCTGTATTCTATACACGGGCCTCCTTAAACGATAGGAGAAATGTTTCACCGAGGTGGGTTTGAAAAATCGTTTGCAATCTTGAGGAAGAAAACTATTAATATGCAAACCAGACCACGTACACAGTTTGAAAAAAATTAATAATTGTAGTATGATGAACAAACCTAAAGTACCGAAACGTCGTTTAAGAATTTTGTGTAACCGCATTATGTTTTGACATCTTAGGCTACGATCACATTGGACGCACGATTGCACAAGTATTTTGGTGGCCCACGCGTGCAAGCAGTTGCATGTGAATTATTATAAACAGGTAAGTCGAAATTACAAAAATACTTGTGCAAGCGTGCGTCCAATGTGATTGTAGCCTTAAAGCAATCACAAAAACACTTACACAGTTTGACAAGTTACCTGATACGAGATAAGAATCATGTTGCATTTACATTGTTTATTGATGGTATAGGTCAAGAAATAAATTTTCACCACACTAAGATGTTTTTATCTGTTTTACATACGGTAATGAGTGGCTGAAAGTTAAGTTTTGCTGGCCATGAAAGCTGTCATCGTCATTTGGGGACCGAGCAGGTTTTTACATCTCTAGGACCGCAAAATCAACTACACGCTTACTTTCTTAAAACATGAATGCATATTAAATACACAATCAGTATCCATAGCATTGCAATATAATTGTTTTATTTTCACCGCTGCCTATCAACTATTTATTAATATTTTTGCTCATTCCTCAAATCATTTCTTCACATAACCTTAAAGTTGTAGTTGTGTTGACCATTAGTGTGCATTATTA